ACATCACAGTGAAAGGACCAGGCAAATCCTCACCTCCTGAGCCCCAGGATGTCCCCAGGAACCCCAGTGCACCCAGGAGGCCGGGGCATTCACCCTCCCATTGCTAGGATGCTGTGGCTGTGTCATCTCGAGGGAGAACGACACTTGCAGCATCACAGTGCAATGAATTACAGAGGCCATCAATGGGAAATTTAATGGCAATCAAATTAAAATTAACCGTGCTGAAATTGTTCAATTTAATATATTCCTTCTGGATTAGTGGCATTCAGGAGGAATCTCAACTCTGTCTTTGATTGCTTTAGTAAGTCAACAACATTAATACATATATTAGGTGACAGAATAAAATAACGCAGGAGCCATGTGATACTGAACTGATTCAGCTGGAAATGTTCAATAAGTTAATATTAAATATTTTAGGTTTACTAAGCAGTGATATGAGTGGTTATTCTCTTCACAGAATCCCAACACAACACAGCCATTTTTACCAAACATTTTCTTCTCCCCATGAGACCCCAACCCCCTGCTCCCCAGTCACCCTCTTCTTGGTTTCCTTTCTTGCACATCCAAGAGGAGCTGTAGACTATTCCTACAGATCCTAACAACCCTTAAAATATTTTTAATAAAATGCTTTTCCCTGTGACACCGATACACACGTAGCTTTCAACCCCATTTTACCACTCCCAGTAGGAAGCAGGTCTTTATTGGGAGAAGTGACTTATGACAGTGCAGGATTATGGGTTTGGTCTTTGCATTACAGATATTTGAAGCCTTGTGAAAATAAAAACTGCTCAGCACCTGTTCTAGAGATGAGCCAAGCCTCGTGCATGGGGAAGCCTTCCTGAGGAAGTTAAGTGTTTGAAATAAAACCCTGTACTCACCCAGCAGAACAGAGACATGAAATTGTTATTTATCAAGATGAAGCTGGCATTTGGATAAAATTCTCCAGCGCTGTTAATAACTTCTGTTGACGAGGGAGTCGCAACAGCAGCAATGAGGTAGATGTCCCCCTGAGCTCGGAGGAGCTGGATTTTTCATGGGCTGTGAGCAAGGAGAAGTGTGTGTCTTCGGTAATAACTTTCTGAGCAGATCCATCAGAACAGCCACCATGAATTTATCTTTTTCTATTCTCTCCAAAAGCTTTGTCAGCTTTGAATAATCTGCTGTGGCTACGGGCTGCCAGAGTGCCACATGGCCACGTGCATCTCCAACATGAAGTCCAACTCCCCGAGCAGTTTTATCATAATGATTAAGTTTCTTAACTTAAATCAAGGATGTCTCTGGAGTTCCCTATGACAATGTGAACTTAAGATAAACAACGAATGATGAATAGGCCAATTACTGAAACCTCCCTTCAACTGAGGCCATATGTGGCTAGTTGATAAGAGGAGGTACGCGTCCTCTCATCTGGCAAATGGTACAGAAACTGGGATGGCTTGAAGCAGAGACTGTTCTGTGTAATCAGGCACCAGCTAATGAGCAATTTCCTTTTTTATGTGAGATTTCCCCTTCTCTGTTTGCCGTCTGGGATGTTGGCAATGGAGAGGAAGCCAGCAGCTGACCAACATGCATGCAGACACTTCACCCCGGTATAAATCCCTGCCCTCTGCCCCACAGCAGTGTCCACCCCGAGGCACAAAAGCAGCAGGAGGTGGCTGAGGGCTGTGCAATGGCAGCACGGCTCCCGGGGGCAGGGAAGCCTTTCTGAAGAGACACTTAAACCAGGGGGACAGCTGTTCCATAACTCTACCAGCAGTCTGCTCAAAGCTTTGGGTGTGCAACAGCAAAGGTGGACAGACACCTTGGACCATGGCTGCAGGACCACGGGATAGACACCTTGAACTGATGCTGAGGACCAAGGGTCAGACACTTTGGACCACAGTTGGAGGAGCAGAGGACAGACACCTTGGACCATGGCTGAGGACCAAGTGACTGTTGCTTTGAACCATGACTTCAGGACCAAGGCACAGGCTCTTTGGACCATGTCTGAGAACCAGGGGACAGACAGGTTGGATCACAGCTGAGGACCAAAGGACAGACACTTTGAACCACAACTGCAAGACCAGGAGACAGACATCTTGGACCATGGATGCAGCATCCCAGACGTGCTGTAACCAGCACTCTGGACACATTTTGGGGCTGAAGCACTTAAAAGAACAAAGCGGGAGGCATTTCCCCTAGTGAGAGACCCCTCAGCAGCACACAAAGGAGCAGAGAAGGGGCAAAGGCTGGCAGGGGTGGACACAGCAGGGTCCCCCCGGGTGCTGCAGCTCCGTGTGACTCCATCCAGGAGCAGATGCCACCACTGCCACCACACCAGCCCACAGCAAGAGCCGCAAGGCGCTGCGTCCTGCAGTAAATGCTATGATTTACTTACTACCTATGGAATTGCCCAATTAATTCACTATCCACATTAATATTATGGCTCATTTTTAACTTTACTGTCTCCATCGTTCCAATTTAGTGCTGCTCAGAGATGCTGCCACTGACCTTAATGGGTTTTTCATTATAACAAAGAGCACCGTATTAATCACAGCGGGTTTTCTGCTGGAGGATGCTGTCCAAGCCCCACTGCTTTGGGGAGCTGCATTTTAGTGGTTTGGGGACCTATTTTATTTCTGCCGGGCTTCTTGCCCCTGCTCACACCGTGTATGAACCTTCATGCTGTCCAGGAGGAATTTCTTGGTACAATATTTCTAGGCACAGAGATTTTATGCGGCAGTCAGGCTACGCTGCGGAGATGATAGATTTTTCTGAGCAAATTGGAGCAAGAAGTAGAAAACTGAAAGGATGCACCAGTCATAGCCAATGAGCCTCTTATTGTCCTGTATAAAAATCAAATGCCTTTTAATCATTTCAAATGTTCTTCTGGGTATCAATTAGTCACACATTAATATCAGTATTGCTTCTCTTCCTCAGTTCACATCAGATTAAATTCTCCCCTGTCATATACACTCGCACTCATTAGCTTCAAGGAAATTAGTGATTGTTCCCTCTTCATTGGCACTGATGGGAGATTTCCATCAGAGCTGCTTTTTATACAGAGAACCTGATTGTCATCTTAAAGAGACTCAGGTTTTTCTCCCCGCAAATTGTTGACTATTCATGGAAAATCCATTGTTCTTCTCTTTCTCCGAAACCCTGAGTGCTGAGCCAGAGCACTGGGGAATGCAGGAAAAAAGAAAACATTCCTGAGCAGAGTCATCCCGCCGTCTCTGTCCCTCTCTGCATCCCAAGTATCCGTCTCCCTGTCGGGATCCAGCAGCTGTCGCACAGCCCACAGCTGCTGAGGGAAAGGACAGTTTGGGTTGCGCAGGGTTTTGCTGCCGTCAACCCCCCTGGGCTCAAGGGTTCATTCATAACTCTCTCTCCGGAAAGCAGCAGTGTGGCGGGGCCTCATCCTGCTCCCTGCCCTGCCCGGGGGCCAGGCACATGGGGCTGAGCTGGCTGCGTATGCATGTGTGCACACGTGTGTGCTCACCCCCATTGCTCCCACCCCTCCGGGTCAGTAGTGCCCAATTTGCAGGAACCCTCCCCTGTGCCCCCTGCCCCAACCACTCCATCCCCAGCACTCACCAAGCGCTGGAAGCGACCGATGATATTTATTGAGTTTTATTAACTCCCAGCCCTGGGAGGTTCTCACCTCTTCCAGCTAATTCAGACACCCGACTCCTGCCGGAGTTACAGTGATTGCCATTAAAAGCTTGACATTTACCTTACAACAGTTATAAAATAATAATGCCTAATTTCGTTTACAAGTGGTATTTGCAGTGTTTCCTGTGTCTTGAGTGGGGGATATTGTGAAGATCGCTGCTATGCTGATCAATTATGTCTGCTTAGCAGCACTGCTGTAATTCTTTCCTGTAATCATAACCATCCTTCAGTAGAGCTGCTCCAAAAATTTCCTTTGAAACTGTAATTTTGACAGGAAAAGAAAATGTTTTCAGATACTTGGGTTTCCAGCGAATAAAAAAATCTTCAGAGGTGAAACTTGCTGGTGAAAAGTAAAGACAGACCTGGTGTCTGAACAGGTTTTGCTGCATTTAGATTTCCAAAATCTTTCAGATGTTTTCAAAGACTGCCTGTGATTGCTTTCCATTAAACAGTGATTTTTCTCCTCCAAATAACCTGCTGTCTTCCACTCATCAATATAATCCCCTTCTGTTATTGGCTTCTCAAACACTAAAATGGGTTTTACCTCCATGAGCGATTGGGACCGAATTGAGGGGAGGGGAGCTGGACCTGGAGCTGCTGCTGGGCTGTGGGGTGCAGAGCTCCAGCCACCCCTGGGCCAGGCAGCCCCAACCCCACTGCAGGGAGCCGATACACACCAGGGCACAGACGTGCACAAGGCTTTCCCAAGCTGTTCAGCAGTTCTGCCTCTGTCCCACTTGGATTTAGCCTTGGGATGCAGGCAGCGACGCCCTGACACCCTCCCAAAACCAGCACCTGGGCCAGCTAAAAGCAATTTTCTCACCTTTAGCAAAACTCAACGTGGATTTCCTTTTTTTTTCAGTGCAAGTTTAATTAGTGCAGAATGCACTCTGGATTTTTATGAGAATAAACAGCTTGAAAAAACAGTACACGCTAGCTCCTCTACACCAGGGAGCCTCATCCTGTTTAGACTAGAAACTTCACGCTGGATTTCTGAAAGCCTTTCTTAAGATGGGTTCATTTCCATAAAGAAATGATATGATTTCAACAAATGGAAAATTTTGAATGTGGAAAAGGGAAAACAAAAGAAATTAGTCAGGAAATTCCTAGCTAGGCCAACTCTGGGGCAAGGCTGAGCACGCCACGGTGCCTGAGCTCTCCATGGGGAACGGCTTGTGCCCCGGTGACGGCGAGTGC